TGATGTAATGGTGACCATGAGTGGCTTAAGAAAACCTGTATTCATTCCGACTCGAAAGAAGTTCTCAAAACTGCCTTCTGCAAAAATGAGTTTACCAGGGAAAGGTGATAACACAAAGTTGGCAGAGCGTCCTCCTAGTCCTCTAATTCAAGCAGATATTATTAAGATACCTGAGCCATCTGTTAATACTGAGAGGCCGGAACGTTATACTATCATGAGCCTTTACACATCTGTAAAGAATGGAGATTTGGAAAAACTGGTTAACGTTTTAGGTACGTTGCTGTACCATTTCTGCTTTGAAAGTACGAGGAATGGCTCGTAATGACTCTTAATGTTTTAGCATGTGGATACAATGCAAATCATACATTCCGAGATTATGCTCATCGGACTGGTCTTCATATAGCCGCGGATAAAGGTCACTTGTCTTGTGTACATGTTTTGGTACAAGCTGGCGCTCAATTAGACGTGATGGACAGAAATCAGTTGACACCTTTGATGTTAGCCGCTAGTAAGGGTAAAGCTGATGTGGTAAAATACTTAATAAGGATAGGTGCTGATGTTACATTGAAAGGAGAAGATGGTATGACTGCTTTACACATGGCTGCTAAATCTGGTCATTTAGAAGTGTGTAGAATAATTTTGACAGAATGCAAAGCACCAAGAACATTAGTAGGTAATTAAATTTTTACTAAAGTAGCGTTATATTGTTTGAATTGGTTTAATATTATGTGTAACAATAACTTCTTATGTTCTGTTAGATTCAGTGGATGACGGTGGATGGACTAGTTTAATTTGGGCTTGTGAGTTTTGTCATACCGATGTCGCGCGATTTTTGTTGGATAAGAAGTGCGATCCTTTAATTCGAGATGCAGAACAAAACATAGCGTTACATTGGAGTGCTTTTAGCGGAAGTTCAGAAATTACAGAAATGCTACTTAATGAAGGGTGTGACGTGAACGCTGTCAACGTTCATGGGGACACACCTTTGTAAGTATTTTAATGCTTATATAGTTAAAATAATTAAGTTTTTGTACAATATTTAATGACTTTACAGGCATATAGCTGCAAGACAAGATCAGTATGCAGTTAGTGTTCTTTTATTAGCTCGTGGTGCTAAAATAGGAGAAGTTAATGCTGCAGGGGAAACTGCAGTAAATTGTTGTACAAATGATGGTGATACTATGTCTGCTTTAAGATTAAATGCCAAAGTCAATGAACTTTCTGAACACATGTGGGAAAAAACAATCAAAATATTAACTAAGTAATTATCAGAACGAATATGTGTTTATCTTCAGTAGAGTAATAGCGATATTAACGATATGCTTTTAATGATTTATTTTTATAGTGATATTTCACGTGGTAAAGAAACGAATCCGATACAATGTGTCAATGGATACGATTCCGAAGATAAGCCAACAGATTTTCTTTACGTGACTGAAAATTGCTTTACCAGCAATATAAATGTTGATCGTACGATAACGTCCTTACAATCTTGTCGATGCGAAGATAATTGTAGTTCAGAGAAGTGTTTATGTGGGAATATAAGTTTAAGATGTTGGTACGATGAGGAAGGAAAATTGATTCCTGAATTTAATTATGCAGGTATATTAAATATGCTGCTTAAATGTAATGTTTCTAATATGTAGAATAAATGTTTAGGTGTTTTATTATTTATCTAGATCCTCCAATGTTGTTCGAGTGCAACCCAGCGTGTGATTGTAATCGCATAACGTGCAATAACCGCGTTGTTCAGCATGGATTAACGCAAAGGTTTCAATTATTTCGAACGAAAGGTAAAGGATGGGGACTTAGAACGCTACGGCACATTCCTAAAGGTTCCTATGTATGTGAATATGTGGGCGAGATTATTTCGGATTCTGAGGCAGATCATCGAGAAGACGATTCTTATCTATTCGATTTAGATAACAGAGTAAGTATCAAACATTTTATATCTGTACAAGATCGAATACTTTAATTCAAGAGATTCTATACGCGTGCAGGATGGAGAAACATATTGTATCGATGCGAGACGGTATGGAAACATTGCTCGCTTTATAAATCATTCTTGCGCACCCAATCTCTTGCCAGTGCGAGTGTTTGTTGAGCATCAGGATTTGCATTTTCCTAGGATAGCATTTTTTGCGAATCGCGACATCGAGGCAGATGAAGAGCTCGGGTATGTTAAAAAAAAAACGATTGGCTCGTGAAAATCACGATACATGTATATACTAGTAAACGGCGTTTCATGCTATTTCCTTTGGTTAATAAAACCCACTTCTGATTTGGTTTTGGTTGGCTAATCGTCATCGCTGGTAATTTTGGTTTCTTCGCCTTACTCATTCTCAAAGTCCTGCTTGACTCTTTCGAAACATGTGAGCTTGATATTGTTTCCATATCTTAAAATAGATAAACTGACACATCGAGTATGATATTTATTACTTTATTTTCCTTTTCTCTTGCTGATTTCGAAGATGGTAAGTTTCGTTATACGGTATTTTATTCCACGAAGGAAAACGTATTGTCAGTGTACTGTAAGAATGCTCGAAGATCATGTTATTCTTGAACATCGATTTTCATTAACGTAATTTATTTATCACTGAAGACCAATACGGAATTGTTTGCCTTCAGCTTCGATTATGGAGAGAAATTCTGGATAATAAAATGCAAGTCATTCACATGTACCTGTGGAGCCGAAAACTGCCGATATTCTGAGAAGACTATACAAGTTACTTTGGACAACTACCGCAGAAAAATACAGCAAGAAGAAATGCTGGCAGCTCAATAATCGTAATCCTAAAGCAATTTAGCAAATTCTATACACTTATTTTAGTTATTAGTTTAATGTTTTTCCTTCTTATTACTCGGAATGTTAAGTAGAGAATCTCAAAGTTTTTTAACTTGTTTAAAACAATCTTCGTACGATTTAGTCTGTGAAATTGAGAAAAGTACAAGTACAAATGGTGATGGGATCTTCGTAGGAAGAATAACTAAAATGATGTTATCTTGCTATTCGAGCTAAGAAGGAACTACGTTTTTCTTATTCCAGTTCGTCAAAATCGAACATATGTCCATATGTTAATTTACTCAACTTGACCATATTTTTCCTATTTCTGCCGATTATCTCGTGAGAATATGTCTCGGGAGATGTGCCACCTTACGATTCTTTCCTCTTTTAAATGAAGTAATATGCATAATATATGTTGTTACATAGATCTCGTATATAATGTACGAGTTATAATGGAATGTGTGTTTGTAATTGCTATAGTTTTGCGAATGATGTGCGTGATTAGGAAAAAGTAAATCGCTGATTGATGTACGTTATGGATGCAGTGCATTCGAAGTTCGTAACAACTGTCATGTTATGATTAAAGTTACGAGTTCGATACTTGCTTATTCAGTTTTATAGAATGATTGTTTATAAATGTTCGTTTCATTACGAACAGCTTAGAACATAAGTACACCTTTTTGTACAAATTATTGATTTTTTGTATAATAAAAGAAATGTAGTTCTTTTCAAGATATATTGTATTTTCGTTTGATTATACTCGTCTAATATCGACTAAATTCAATCTGCAATACTGATAGTAATAGAAGAAATTCAATTTTGATAAGAAAAGCTACAGCAACAAGTCTGAAGTAATCCACTAGATGTCACTAGATACTTATTTGATACAATTAACAATGGATCTTGGAAAAATGTTTTGATCAATAATTTGTTTCGAAAACAAGTATCTCTCTCTCTCTCTCTCTCTCTGCCTCCTCCTTTCTCTTTTTATATGTAATGAAAAAGATTTGCAGGTATGAAAACATATCGTAATTATACCATAGATTTAATATTTTATAGGAAGTTGTATCTAACTGATGATCTAATTGTTATACAAATTAAACTATTGATATCGAAACAATTCATAAGTACAAAGGAAATATAGAATAGACAAAAATATAATCATCTATCATTATAATTTTAATTTTGACTACTGCTCTACAGAATCGGTAAGGTTGAAAATGACATTAAAATGGTAACAAGAATGGCAAGTCCTTTAACGGTAAGAAGTAGATCGGTCGATATATGGTATATATCGTATATTTCATATTCGTAAGTGCCATTATTATAAAGTGTATATATATATATTTATACGATTAAAAAATTATGATTATTAATTATAATTTTTTTCTATGTTAAATCTATGATAAATATGAAAGATTTTGGAATTACAAAATTATACAACATTAAAATGTATTAGGTGTTAAATCTGTGTTGTACATTTCATTTACGACGAAAACTTTCCAAAGGTTTTGTTTTCTACTACGCAGTACGCGTCACTGATCGATCGTCAATTCGTCAATAAAAAGCAAGAGTCTAATACATTTTCCTTAAACGTCGCCTAAATACATGTTTTCCTTAAAAGCAAAGCACGTATATGTATATAACAACGTTAACGTGTTCAACGAATTATTCGTACTTTAAATTACTCGTACTTGTCATATTACAGTGCGTTCGTTTAAATAATATATTCCGATAAATTATACCAAGAAAATATCTGAGACATACGTACCTTTCGGATTCCGGTAGACGAGATTACATATCTAATCCTTGGCTACTCTCCGTCAAATCATTTCATCGATTATGTCGTTGCACAAACACAGGCATTTTTTATATTTCACAAGAATATCGTTTTTTGAAACGTACCTCTTTAGGCTAAAAATCTATGGCAAAACTTATACGTTTTCTTTCACAAACACTCGCGATTAATCCGATATAGACTTTACGAAACCAAACGATCGATCGCGTTACGCGTTTTGATAACGTTCGAAAATGTTACGCTCGAAGAAAAAGTACGTCGACAGGACGCACGAAAACGAACGCGAGGACATTTGGAGTTCGAACGAGGCAGGTTCGCGCGTTGATTGGTGGAGGGGGGTCTGGCGGTTGGTGCGCAAGTCGATGGTGATTGGCTGTGTTGACAGCGGCGGTCGGGGTAGTCGAAATTCAAGCGAAGAAGCGGCAGTTAGTATAGCGACCGTCGAGCGCTTGTAAGCGCTATACGTAAGTAGCTGCGTAGAATTATAGTATAATTTTTGTTTTCATTCGTGTTCCGTTTGTGGGGCAGTTTATCGTCGCGTTTGCCCTTCGTTTCGATTTTTCCGGTACGGTTCGTGGTAGTGATATACGATCTTGTTCTTCGTGGAAACGCGAAATATGGGGTTCGAGTATCGTTAACAATGTCATATTCCGGCGTTACCGTGATACGTTCTGTGACAGTGAATTAGTGGTGGTGAGCATCATCGAGCACCGATTACTATGATGACCAGCTGACGGATAGATTATTCTTCCACGTCCCTACGGCGTCAACGGGATTGCCAAAAATACTGGAAGGTTAGTGTCTCGCATATATTCGATAAAATGTACGAATCTGTATCATCGGTAAACGAAAAAAAAAAATGGCAGAATCGGCGCGAATATTAAATATAATGCAGACACCCAATGCTGGGTGTAGATACGTTCGTATAAATTAAAATCCTTGGATTTTCGGGAGAAAAATACAGGAGAAAACGTTGAAAGACGTTAATGGTTTTCGGGAGATTGTAAAAATTTTTCCGGGAAAAAACTTCGTAAATATAACATCGGTCATGTACTGTCATAGCAAAGAGTCGATCGCTGGTACATTCCATGTTTTTTCGAACAATACGAGAAACCTTTCACGCGATCTATCATCTGCTATTTTTTGTTCGTTCTTTTTTGCAAATCGTTAATTTGTTAGTACCGAAAATATCTTTTAATGCTACTTGTTCAGAGAAGCTTAATTTATTTAGTATGCATATAGTATAGCAGTAATATAGCGATAACAAGTAAGATGGAAGTAAGCTTTTATTTTCTAATTTTTCTGGTTAATGTATTTTCTAAACATATACACGTATCGATAAATAAGATACGTAACATATTGTAGGCGAAATTACATACGTGACAAGATAAAATAGAAAAATGTTCCGTTTTCACGTTTCACGGAATTTTTCAGCTACTCGAGCGTTGATTAACATATCAGTAATCAAGATTTTACTGTACGTGTTGTGACACGTTCTATCCATTCTAATCTCTGGTTGGAAAATTTGCTCGTACAATCGTGCCACGTTTTATGTTTCCCTCTTAACACCTGTATTTAGTTCTTTCACAGTCGACAGGATCGAAATTTTGCGCAATTGTTGTACTCTCTTTCTCCTTTCCCCTTCGTTCATTCATTTTTACAAACGTTCGGTCGCGTACGAAATTATTTAATCGAAAGCAATCTTTCCGGTCGAACAACGTTCTTCGGTACCTTTTGTCGTTCGTCGTACCCGTGCAACAAATAGCCGCCGAGGGTTAACGTCTGAGAACCGTAAAGGAGAGATATCTGATCCGAGCGATGAAACACGAGACGAGAGAAAAGGAAAAGAGACGGTGATAGCGAAAACACCAGCAGTGTCAAACACGCCAGGGATTTGTTCGAATTGCGAACACGTTCGACAAACCGCAGCTTTGCTCGACGCAAATTTTTCTTTCTCTATTTGTATCTCGTATTAAGAAATTCGTAACTGTTACGATCGTCGCTCTCCACGTAGACAGAAACGTTACCCTTACCCGTTTCGCTACCATGGTCGAGATATCTCGCGAGTTTGTTTCCTTTTTTTGCAGTTACAGCTCTCGCCCAAATAAACAAACACACGGAATATTTCTTTCTCGTCGTACGAACGATGTTTTGCCTCGGGATAATTCGTACAAACGTAGCATCGGTGACCTTGTCCGTAGTGGTGACGAAGCATTTAAGAGAAGCAGAAATTTTTTAAACGATTTTACTTCCTTCGTGAGCTCACGATACTTTCGATACTTTCTTTGATAGAATATTTAAATAAGAATATATTGGATGCGAACAAGCCTCGACAGCGTGTGTCTTTTACGCAGATTTAAAAAAAAAGACTGTCGCTTGAAAATCTTTTTTCGACGATTTAACGAAAGAATCGTGGAATATGCGGTAGAAAAAATGTTTTATCGCTTTCGGCGTACACGTAGAACTAAATAATATCGAAAGCGAATATCGAAATAACAGTTACCCGCGTTGAATCGTTTTTCTTTGCTGCGATTTCCGTTTAAAGTCGCAATAAATTTTTGCGCCCTCTGTTCGCTTTAAATAAACGCTCGACAAAGATGCGATAGAACGTCATACACGCGTACACAGACGAAAGAAAGTCACGGTTGATGTTGGAACAAAGTCATTAGCTTCTTTGTAAAAAGTTTTATGCGATTCCGCGGTGGAAATGTGAATATTACTATAGCGGAACAAAAGGAGTATACGTGTTCGTAACCCACAGCAAATGTCAAAGCTACCTTATGACGATCTGTCGGGGGGGTAGGACGAAACTGCTTTTCGATCGAGGAAATGTCACGTCGTCGTGTCTTCGTCTCTGTCGCATACGTTTTCGAAAATCACGCATTGAAAGGATTGTTTCGATTCTATGTCGATATTTTACACGGAACCTTAGTTTGCCAACGTGCTTTGACGTTTTGAAAATTAAATATTTATACCGTATTTACCTCGCACGGCTCCCGAAGGCTCGAAAATTTATCAATTTTTTCCGGGTATCCGGCGTTTAAGATTCGAAATTCAAGAATAAGCTTCTTAAAAGAACCGTAAGGTACGTTGCGTGGTCCGTTGCTTGCCGTACGGAGTCGATCGACGAAACTAATTTAGTCTTCCTGCACTTTGGAACGCGATCAGTCGCGTTTCGTTTGGTGTGCGATGACTCAAGAAGACTTACTTCGCGATATTATCTTGTTGAAATACAACGATATTAATCTTATACAGGCACGTACACGGGCATTTGAACAGGACATTTACACAGGTGATACTCGCTACCGTATAGAGAGTGGGGTTGAAAATCTTTTAAGGGACCATGGGTCGCCACGTACTGTCAGTCTGAGAGTAACTGGCCAACTGTCAACGATCCATAAATTCTACGCCTGCACACTTTGTTAATTATACCGTATCATTCACTTATATTTTAAATACATTTGGTTCTGTAATTCTGTTTAATAAATATCACCTAATATTATTTCAACATAAACATCGTGTCTTCCACAGATCATTTATCTTAACTTTAAGACTAAATTCTAACGTATCTCTTAACGCCTTTGTCCTTTGTTTCGCAATTTATCGCGGTTTATCGGGATTTATCGCAATTACAAATATATTATTCAATACCCGTTTAATCGTCCTTCCATATGTATTATTATCACGAGCCATGGTAAATCGAAATTGAAGGGTCTTTATTCGTAAATCGTACGAAGCACGAAGTGCATATGAAAAACGTCGCGTTTGCAGAGCGTGGTCATTAAAAAACTCGAGGTATACTATCTCAAGTCAGTAGATAAGAAAGTAAGAAAGTCATAGGAAAAAATTGTTCGAAGAATGCGTGCACGCGAGAGTCGAAGCCTTTTTCCCGTGATTGCGATCTTCTCTTCTCTTTCGTCGTGTAAAGCACCAAAGCATGCACATATAATTTGTCTTGAACATTCGGTAGCGACGAGGTGTTCGTCCGTTAACACGGAGATCTTCTCCGATAATCGAAACGACCTCGACAAAGTGTACGAATCCAGTCTAAATAAAGATCATCGTAGACGAATTCCGTCCTAATTTTTGACCTGGTCGTTTTCTCATTTCTCGGCCTATTTAGATGGCCGATAGGGCGCGATCGAAGGATAAGCGGATAGAGAACGCGCGCGACCCTCGAAAAATTGTCCCGCATGAAATTGAAACGAAAGTTTCACACGCGGTGGAAACTAATTGTACTTTCCTATCGGCTTTTCTATTTCGCCCTTTCCTGTCTAAGTTTCACACGCAAACTGTTGCGTTTATCTTTTGTTTTTCGTGTTCTTGCTATCGACGTGTCAAAAGCGGAAAAACACACGGACGACAGTTACATCGATCACTCGAAAGGTTCTTCGTAACGGTTACGATTCGTTGGCCTTTCATCGTACACGAACGAGATACCTGTATTATATGTGTATTATAGCACTGTGTGTTCGAGATTGATTGGATCAAGCGGCAGCTTAATACGAACATCGTAGTTTCCATGTAGACGCAAAGTCGATAGGGTGCCAAGAAAGAATAGACGTTTCTCTTTACGACCTTTCGAAAGCAATAAAAAATTCCATTTTCATGCGAGTCGCGACTTTGTCGAGTTTCATCGATTTCGTATTGACCGTATTACGATTGATACGACGACGCACTCTATCGTAATGGACATCTAAATACCGTTCTGCCAATCGTTCGATGCAAATGGACGATCACGTTGTCCCCGTTGTATTTTCAAGCTTCTGCTTCTCTCGCGGGGCATAGTCGGAACGAACTTAGTTAATAAAACAAAGAACGACGCGTTAGTAGAGGCAACCGACGAACAAAAGTGCAAAGAAATCCGGGCAGGTAGAGGAGGCGTTGATATTTCATGCATTTTTAAACGAAACTTCGACAAACAGAAGTTTTAATGCAAAGAAAACGGCGGCTGTTTTTATTCCTGGTATATTGTTGAAATCACGGTTAAAAGGTTGCTCGTGCTTCCGTGCACCCGTTACATGGGAAATTATACTCGCCCGTAGAGCCACGAATCTATACAACCACATTGGCAATTGTAAGGCTGCCCAGACATTCTAATCAACTCTTTGATACCTGATAGTTTCAGATATTGTCGCTACAAAATTCTAATTCTCTATTCTAGTTCTGTCTTTTCGCTGCGTCGTCGTCCACAGTCGAATACGATCCCAACTTTCCAGTTGGACCGATCAAACGTGCGTTTCTTGCTCGAAGAAAACGAAGGTAAAAAATTCGCAGATTCTTCGAATTAGCGTAATTAATCAGCGGACGTGCACGTACGATAATCTACACGTACGTAAAATTATTTAAAAAGAAGCTTGGACGTTAGAAGGTGCACGCGTAATTCTGAAAATTGCGCGTTGGTCTCCAAGCGGATTACTATGAGAGTAGGATGCGTCCTTCGTTCTAGGATAACCTTATGTCGGTAGCGTGCTAATTTAGCTGGTTGGTCGTTTCGAATACCAGCAGCATTCGTCGAAAGGTTTTCGAAGGGTAGGACGTTGGATAACTTAGTCTTTGAATCGCTTTGAATCGCTTTGAATCGCGTGCAATGGGACTCGCGCGTTGCGTAAATTGTTTGCTACCGGTATGATATCGGTTCATTCGGCATTGGTAATTAGGGACAATCCGGCTTATCTCTAGGCAATTCGATCGAGAATTAATCTTCCATCCGTAGAGAAACCAGAGGCTTTGATACCGTAATTTCCATCTATTCGTCGTATCGCTCTTTAAATCGATATCGAAAGGACTGGAA